ATATGTGTTAAAAGTTTATACATTTATATTAATTTAGATGATTACTATGTACATAGCAGAGAAAATAGTTATTGGGAGTATGGGTTCTAAAGTAGACCACGTTGTTTTGTTTATAGTTAACATTGAATATTATTTTATTTTTATATTAGTTTCAGGTGCACAGTGAAGCAGTTAGACATTTACGTAATTTATGAAGTGATCTCACCAATAAGTCTAGAACCCACCTGACACCATACAATATTATTGACTATATTCCCCATGCTGTACTTCGCATCCCCATGATTATTTTGTAACTACCAGTCTGTGCTTCTTAATCCCTTCACCTTTTTCACCCAGGCCCCCAACCTCTCTCCCATCTGGTAACCATCAGTTTGGACCACCTTGGTTTAAATCCTAGCTCTGGTGTTTGAAATTGTATGATCTTGGCAAAGTAACTGGACTGTGCTCCATTTTTTCATCTACAAATTTAGGGTGATAATAATTATGATACCTGAAAGAGTTATTGGGAATTAAATGAAGCAATACACCTGGCCTATTATAAATACTTAAGAAGTATGAGCTTTTATTGTAATTATGCCACATGTATTGATAATGTAGAAGAGTCAGACACTTGGACTCTCAGTAACAGTACACATTACATAGTAATATCTCCAATCAAAGCATGGACAATATTTGTTGTCAAAATTTCCCCAAGAGTGTAAATATAAAGTTATCTGGAGAAACTCAGATCTGGAGAAATAACAATCTGTTTTTTTTACTGGAGAGGGCAAAATCTATAAATGTCCAATATGATTTTTTTTCCTGTTTATTTACCTAAAGTTCTCTAAGACAACCCAATATGAAATTCATTTCGTTTGGCCCCAGGTTGCACATCAGAAGAGAGATACAATGAAAGAGTTTTTCATTTGTTTGTTTGTTTTTAACCAAAGAATGGTTTAACATGTGTTTTGGAAACCACAGAACAATGCTAGTCATGGTTGGTTTTACCAAAAGGGAAAAGAATCCCCATCCATAAGGGCTAACTTAACTCTTTTAAAATCTCCCTCTCAGGTATACCAGATGTAATCTCATCAAAATGATAGTTTTGATTGAGCACCAGTCTTGTTTTTATTGGGGAATAAGTTGATTTACCAACTCCTCTTGCTCTCAGAAAACAGATTTTTTTCTCTAGAAGAAATATATATGAAAGGATTCCCTTGCTCTGCCTACTAATTTGTTTATTCATATGAACAACGTTTTTGGTGTTCTGCTGAGTTTGCAAGAATTGACTTATAGTCAATTGAGAGTAGCTGATTTATCATTAAAGAGTTGGATGACTTTTGGCCTCTCCTTCATGATAAATTTTGGACTCAGAGTTAAACTAGGTGACATATGATAAAATATCTTCTTTTTGTTTAACTTCTTTTGGTAAATTATATCATAATGTATGGACACACCCTCTACCTGCTCTCTTCTTTCTCAGAAGATGTATTTCAGTTAGAAGCTTTCAATTTTATTTTCTAACTGAGTATATAGGTTACTTTTTGTTTAGAAATGCCAACAAAAATATTGTTAAAACAGTGATTCATAAATTCAATTGAATTCAGAAAAAGGTTTTCTTCTTTTTCTCTATATTTTCTCTTTCCTTACTCTTGTTTAACTCCCTTTCTTTGTCCTCCCCTCCTCCATCCTCTAATCTGCCTTTTATCCAGCTAATACACTCTGTGTGAGTGCCTACTTCATCCTCAGGCACAGTGTTAAGGGTTGTAATACCATGGTGAATATAGATGCATAGGGCTCACTTAGACCTCACCATCTTAGACTTGCCTGGATTTGGGGTAAGTGGCTAGAAGCAGAGAATATCCTTTTGTGCCTCATTCTATCTCAGGCTTCACCACTGTGTCACAAAGTAGATGTTCAAAAATACTCATTAAATTTAATTGTTATCTCAAATCTCTCTGGGCTCTTTAGTTTCTACTAAGGACTCCTAGATAAAATAGGTACAATCCTGCCAATGATCTACCTGTCAATGATTTACCAAGGACTTGTATTTCTGCTGTATTTATCTGATGTTTCTTGCTTGAAAGTAACTGTAACTTTTATAAGGTCCAAGGTATTAATAGACTCCTTCTGACATATTTCACACAAGTGAACACCAGACCAGAAGTCAGTCTTCAGTCGGTTTCTGCCTTGCTCAATATTTTTCTTAATAAATAAAATTGAGAACATATCCAGTGAGCAGGACTAACAAGGTAACTATGATACTGCAGTTTTATGTTAAAACTCTTTAAACAACAAAGCACTACATAAATGCAAGATGTTATTTTTAGTTATTTTTAATGACACACAAGTGATTTAAAAAGGCTTAAATGCTTTACATTATTAAGTGACTAAACTATTAATATCAGTAATAATAATAAAAGTACAACCTGTTCAGATGACCCGGTAAAAGAAACTGAGTGATCCAATGTAGTTTTCCTCAAATCTCCACTCAAGTTTTAAACTGCAAAGAAGATGAGAACCACTTGTGCATTTGGAATGTTTCTGAGGAGTTTTTATTCCAAACGCCAGAGAAGGAGGCGGAGATTAATTTGTGGGGCTTGGCTTTCTGGAGTCTGTGATGCAATGGAGTAACACAAATTTAGATACACACCTTCAAATGCTTTCAGCCATACACAATTATGCTTATTCATACAGAGATGTAGAAAGCCCCTGGGGCTTTGTTGGCTCATAATCAACTTCTTAGATTTGCCAATAGCAATCAGTGGTTTGGGAGGAGGGAGGGAGAGAAAGAAAGGGGGAACACGAGGGAGAAGATTGGAACAAAATATAAGACAACTTGGGAAGGCAAAGTCTTTTTACTCACTCACGGATGAATAATAAAACTGGTAACATTAACTTTCAAAAGAATAAACTTGCTGAGGAGTGAGAGGAGAGAAGAAAATAATAAAGAAGAAACAGGACTCTGGATCAGGAGACCTAGCTCAGTTAGTACTAAGTGCTGTCATAGAAGGCTTCATAGGACTTGGCTGTGTCCTAACAAGTCAAGTAGAAAATACGTTCTATTTAAAATCATCGCCTTTAAGCTCTTAAGCAGCCCTGAAAATTCAAAATAGATGACAGCTTAGAAGGTAAACTTCACCTTTGGATTATTATCTTAAAATGTTCACTTCTCTCTGCCCCCAATCACGTGCTTAATGTAAGGCTTAGTGTGGAGTTTCCAGGTAAAGTTACCCATTAACATCATTGGAATTTAGATAAGAAGATGAGAAAAATAAGAGACTAAGGATTTGTGGAGCCCATGAATCCTCCACCTTTCTTTTCCTGTCTCTGCACCTACTCTGTCTTCAGTTCAGGAAATTCTCTTTTGCTCCTACACCTCCACCCCCATCAATACCTCCAATTCAGTTCCAAAACTGATTAGTTCTTATTTGTTTCTCCATTTTAATTAGATTGCACTTTCTTTGAAAGTTCTTTGGTGACTCTTGTAAGATTGAATATCCTGAGCAACCTTCAAACCCTGTACTTTTTCTTAATTACCCCTATTCCACTGAGCTAAAGTTAAAATTTATTTGCCCAGCTTCCATATCAGGGGATTTAAAGAAAACTTATTAGACTGTATATAAGCTCAAAACAAGGTCTTACTCTGTAATTAGCACACTGTATGGCATCTAGAGTCTAGGCATTGAATACATACTAACTGAATAAAAGTGGCTGATGTGTTCAAAAAAGATAACAAGTTAAGAGAACCATAGTTGTTAGTTATAGAAGTCATTAATATCCAGCCCTACCCAAAGTAAAAAAGAACAGTTAAGTGGTTTCTGGGAAATAGGGCTTTTCATGATAGAAATCAAGGTGGAAGATGAGAAGCCAGGGGCTCAAATTTACATTTTGTATTATTTCATTTTATGCAGTTGGTCATTATCATTTTTATATTTATTTGTGTTAAATAAAATTTTGTGTAAAAATATTAATCTTTAAATATATAAATGTAGTATGGGTTATAATTTTCAACCCTATTGCATAGCTTAACTTATTTTTCTTAATTAATGGTTTTAATGATGAAGATCTGTGAGGCTTCCTTCCTTATTTATCAAAAATAGTCTTTCATACAAAATTTCAGGATATGAGCACAAGCAAATGAGAACAGGTTTAAACTTCAGACCATCTCTCTTATCTTTCATTTATAAACAATTAGCTACAGGAATGTTACAAATGTTTCTAAATCATGTGATGCTGGGAATTACCAAAGGTCAAAACATATTTAGCCTTAGAAAATCTTTTAAATGATGAAGACTCACTTGTTGATAAACATGAAGCAGTAGGCAGTATAGTCAGCTTAACCTTCATTCTTCTCCATAAGCAGTGAGTACAGAAGAGATTACAAAATGTTTGAGTCCTTGGTCTGACCTTTCCTCCTTTGTACATTCAATCTAGTAAAAAAAAAAAAATTATAGATAAGCACCTCTTAAAAAATGTCTATCTTGAATCTTAGAATGTGGGCAGATCTGTTATCATACCGCTGTCATACTCTAAAACTGAAAACAAATATGTAATTGGCATGCTTATATGATGAAATCTTTCTAAGACAATGGCTATTCCTTATCTGTGACAACTGAGATTTTCTTTTCCTTCTGTATCACACACTTCTTTTGGGTCTAGTTTGAAGGTCTTAACATTTGTTTTATAAATGACATGATTTCAATACTACTAATGAAAAATTAAGTGGCAGTGTACCTGAACATTTTAAAAATTATTATTAATTATCATTTTAGAACAGTTTTGTGTTTGCAGAAAAAATTGAGCAGGTGGTACAAAGAGGTTTCTCTCCTGTATAATTCCCCTATTTATTAACATCTTCCTTTAGTAGAATACATTTGCTAGAATTGAAGAACCATTATTGATGCATTCGTATTAAATACAGTCCAAAGTTTACATCAAGGTTTGTGTTTTATATTGTACAGTTCTATGAGTATTGACAAATGCATAATGTCATGCACCCATCGTTATTGTATCATATAGAATAGCTTCACCCCTCTAAAAAAATCTCTTGTGCTCCACCTAGTCATCCTGCCTATATTGTGAACTTAAGAAACACCCAAACCTGTAGAGAATTCTTATGAGTTTATTTGAGCCAAAACTGATGACATATGCTGGAGCGTAAGATCTCATATGCGTCAGAGAATATGTTTTGCAATTTCTCTTATGCATTTGAAATTAAGGAAGGAATGTAAGGAAGAGTACATGGAGATGGGAAAAAGCAAGGCTGAGATTGGATTACAGGAGAGTTAACACAATTATGTGCTCTCTTGAGGGTGGTCAAGCTTTAAAAGGAGGGGTCTGAAAAGGAGCATTTCACAGTTGTGTTTACCGATATGCACAGAAAGAATAGACAGGGCTTGCAAAGATCAGCCTTTTACTGAAGTTGTATACTTAGGGCATGACCACTCACCAAGACCAGTTAGGGATTTATGATTAGATCACCCTGTGAGGTAACTTGCTATAGAACCCATTTTTTCTCCACGTCCACACTCAACTCCCCTGAGTTCCAGACAACCATTGATCTTGTCATTGTCTCTATAGATTTTCTTTCTCCAGAATGTTACATGGTTGGAACCAAACAATATGTAGCCTTTTCAGACTGGCTTCTTTGATGTAACAATGTACATTCAAGGTTCTTCCATGTCTTTGGTGGCTTGGTAGCTCATTTCTTTTTATTGCTGATTAATATCCTATTGTCTGAATGTACCAGTTTGTTTATCCATTCACCTATTGAAGGACATCTTGGCTGTTTCCTGTTTTTGCGATTACACATAAAGCTGCTATTAACATTAATGCACAGGTTTTCGTGTGGACTGAAGTTTTCACCTAATTTGGGTAAATATTTAGAAATGTAATTGCTAGATAGTATGGTAAGACTTATTAAACAACAAGAATCCAATCAAGTAAACTTGAAAATCCAATTGGCTTAATTAAATGATTCATGGAAAAGGCAGCATCCCATGTAGCAAGTACACAGGAGCTTTGAGAAGCTGTCAAGTATGGTAGGCTTTTATGGGCAGAAATTGGGTAGGACAAGAAAGTTATTAGCAAAAGAAAAGAAAAGATTGTTTCAAGCAAGGTTACCTTCTTTAGGCGAAAGGGGGTGTAGAGGGGTTCTTATCAGGCAGAATGCTTCTGGCTTCCTTTGTGGAATGGAAAGGCCTCACATGACAGATTACCTCATTAATACTGAGCACAAAATTCCAAACTGACTAAGACCACAGCCCTGGAGAAGGGTGAAACTGCAGTTCAGTCAGGTATTAAGTCTAGGTTCAGTATAATGGGCTTTAGCACAAGTGACTCCGTTTGGGGCCTGTGGTTTTCTCTCTAACAAGCCTAAAAAGTAAAACTGAATACAGTCTTCTTTCACTCAGGGAAAGTCCCTGGGAGTCTTATCAGAAAAGAAAGACATAACCACTAACTTTTTAGTCGCAATTATTTGAGCACATAGGTACTTTGCAATGTCAAAAAAATTAAATGACTTATAAAACTCAGCATCGTTGTTTAACCTTAGTGAAAAAAATCTTGAATTCAGATTTTGGCAATATCAAATTTAGTAATTTATCATTTCATTGTCCTTCCTATCACATATATTCCTGCTATTCAATTTTTGAATAAGCTTTAAAGCTAAAAACAGTTGTTGGCCTATAAATTGCAGTGTTGATTACAAATTAGACTTATGCAATTATTTTAAAAATCTTGTACATTTGAAAGTAATAAACTCGTGAAAAAGACACTGTAATTCACATATATAGATATATATAACCAAATGAGTCACCAAAAATTAGTGTTTTATTATTATACTTTAAAAAATAGCACTGATAACTTTGTAAATACTTTTGAAAATCCTCACATTATCACCCTATTATTTTTGCATTTATTTATTTTGTGGGTATTTTTTTCCCTTGAATTCAATCAAATATAAGCTGGCAGGAAAATTGTGGAATCATATATTTGTCTTATTGTTTTGACTCCTTACCTCCTCTATGGGTCTAATTCTCAAAGATAATACCGATATACAGGTTCAAGTTTCCTCATTCACCCCTTCCTGAACTCTCTACTTCAAATTCATGGCCAATTAAAACATATTTTAGAAAAAATATTAAGAGTAAACTTATAGCAAGTCAGCTTTGTTTCTAGTACCATGTTAACTGTATCTAATAAGTGGGCTTTCTTTTTTTTTACTGCAGCAGCAACAATGACAATAAGAAGAGGAGATAGTAAAATTTGCAGAATACCTACTATATGCCACCTAGTTTATGTATAGTTATCTGTGATCTTCTCATTTATTATATTGACATATGTTCTAGAACTATGTTCTGAGATTTAGTTAGCAGGTGGAAGTACACACCTATGATATTGTAATTTAGCAACAAGAAGAATCTTTGTGGTAAAGAAAGAGTGAGAGAACTTGGGCTAATCATAAAATTATTATTATTATTATTATTTTTTTTTAGCTGAGCCCTCCTGCCACCTGTTGGCAGCTCAGCGCCTGCTCAGCTCGGGCCATAAACTTTTTTTAGAAGGC